TACAGATCACAATAGCTATTAAAAATTAAAGGGTTGGAGGGAACACCATGACCATGTGTGTGACCTTATAGATTGATGTTTCCTGGATGGGGAACCAGTCTGCCATAGAGACAGCAGGTTGGGCAAGACCAGATTGCATTTGTTGGGAGATTATGAATCAGTAAATGTTCAGGTAGTTCAGTTGTTCTCAACCTGTGGGTTGTGACCTCTTTAGGGAGTTGAACGATACTTTCACACAGGGTCACATATCAGATACACTGCATATCAGATATTTACATTATAATTCATAACAGCAAAATTACAGTTATGAAGTAACAAAAATAATTTTATGGCTGGGAATCACTGCAACATGAGCAACTGTATTAAAGGGTCACAGCATTAGGAAAGTTGAAAACCAGTGATACAAATGTTAAATATGTATACAAGGCCAAAAAAGAGGCTTTTTAGAAAAGAGAATATAAAAACATGGGAACTACTCTATCTTTTAACATTTTGGGTGGCTTGTATAAATCATATTTTTATTATTTATGTTTTCCTATTTACCTTCAAAACAACCCTATTTGGTAGGAACTAAGTCTTAAGGAAAAAACTATGTGTTTTATAGATTCCAATCCAAATAGTTTTAATATTTCAACATTGTAGAGTGGATGTGTCCATTTCAAAAATTGATGGCATTTTACAATTGATGTTGGCCTTTTGTTCTTTTTATATTTTAACATAACTGAATTTAGGATGTATTGTTCAATTCTTGGCTTCTTAGATCCATAAAGTATGGTCACTTGTCCAAGATTATACACCTTATAAATGGCAGAGCTGGAAGTCATATGATGATATATATTATTTATTTCTAATCCGGCAAGGAAACTCAAGTGCTGTGGGAGCTATCAATCTTCTGGAAAAGTAAGCCAGGGAGTACTTTCTTCCTGAGATGACTGGATGACTCTAGTGGGAGGCTAAGAAGAATGGTCCATTCGTGTTACTCTCTGCTTTTGTGGAAGCTTTAAATTTTTATTACATTTTTTATTCATTATTTATTTGGGGAGCATGTGTTGAGGTCAGAGGACAACGTGCAGGAGTCAGTTCTTTTCACCGATTTGACTTGGAGGTCAAACTCAGGTCATCAAGCTTGGGGCAAACGTTTTTACCTGATGATCCATCTCATCAGCCCTTTTTAAGAAAGTTTTAACCAATGAGAGAATGATGAGGACAAGTACGAAAGTTTTGAAACTGCTATTGTTTTAACGTTGACAAGGAGAGACTGGATGCAAGTCTACCAGACAAGACAAGCAATTAAAAAAATGAAGTTATATTGTGGTCACAGCAGTCACAGTAGGGTAGAAAGCCAAACATCAAGCTTTAGGATGGTGGTTTTCCTACACACTAGTCCTTCAATTCAACATAACATAGAAAGCAGCAAATCAATAAAAAGACATTGGTGATAGTACTCAGATGGCACCAATTTATGCTTAGGAATATAATTTACTTTAAACTTGTTCAAAGTGGTTTCCAAAATATAACTCAATGTTACCATAATTATGGGAAGTCTAATATGCACTTATTCAATATACTACTTTAAAAAAATAATTATGTAATACATTGCAGGTTTTCTCTGTCAGGCACCACCTGTGTTTTGAACATGCTGAACCCCGTCTTTCCAATGTTTCCTTGCACAGTTACTTTACTATACTTGTTTTCCATTTCTTTGCCTAGAAAACTCAACAATCATTTCTCAAAACCCATGTCCTACTGCCCTTTGCCTATTTCCCCAAGTTTCAGATGCTTTCCTATATGGGGCCTCCACACCCTGTGCATGCATCTGTTATGAGAACGCTTGGAGATGGTGTCCAGTCTTTATCGGCATAGCAACTTATCCACATTGAAGCATACTTGCTGAAGGGAGGAATACATGAAGAATGCCCACTGTGACATGTTCTCACATGGTCTAAATTTTGACAGATGATCTGCCCCACCTGCCTGGCAGATCTTAATTCCAGTCATACATTGTTGTTACACTTGTGTAGAAAGCCCCACCATTTGATAGCTACCATGATTGCACGCCCAAATGATGGCCTTACAAACAGCCATTCTTTGACCATGTTGCCAAAAGCAGCACACTTCTTTCTTAGTCTGTTTTATTTAACCTGTTTTAATTTTATTCTTAACACTTGTCAATAGCTTACATATTTTTATTTATCTTTGTTTAAAAATTTTTGTATATTACCTCCACTTTGAGGTGAATTTAAAGAAGACACAGTTTTTTTTTTTATCAGCAAACAGTAAATAAATAACTACCCAATTGGTTAAAAATGTGACTACATTTTTGGTTAGAAATGTATAACTACTATTTATTCTTTGATAATTTCATATATATACGATGTATTTTGATCATATCCACCCTTTACTCCCTACCTCTAATCCTTCCACAGCCACACCCCTTACAACCCCCTCCTAACTTCATGCCCTCCTCTTATTTTCTTTTAAACTTTACCTAGTCCAATTAGTGATGCTTTTAATCTTCACCTAGTCCATATGTGCCTGGGTGTGGGATATCTACTGTAGCATGGACAACCTACCAGGGGCCACACCCCTAAAGAAAACTGATGTTCCTTCCTACAACAGCAATCAACTACCAATAGCTCACCAGTAAAGGCCTTGTGAGCTCACTCTACCCATCTATTCTAGAGACTTGTAGAAGACAGTATGGAGCTATAAGGCTATCCCATTAAAAGATGGAGGGCCTGACCAACTAATGCCTTCATCTTCATTCAAAGACAGGTTCCATAAGAGCTAACCCAGAGCACTCTAGCACTCTGGTGATCTTGTGTGTGTGTGTGTGTGTGTGTGTGTGTGTGTGTGTGTGTGTGTGTGTGTGTGTGTGTGTGATAAGAAGTTATTGGACTGTGAAAAGGACCATGAAGCTAGGCTGTATGTGCATTGCCACCGTGATCTACCCTTTTTATCTTCTAATATCTGTCTTCTACTTCTTGCCTTATAAGGAAGGACTCGAGAACACCATCATTCATGTATAAGTGACAGTTAAAAGCTTATTGTGAGATAATCCTATGTTAAAACAAAGTCTCATGACAGAGGAGTGATATTCAGGTATCAGTTGGAAACTATTGGAAGAAGCTTTTCCAACACATCTGAGAGTCATCCTTTTGGGAGGGGAGAGCCCTGGTAGTGGAAATTACTGCAGAGAGCCCTGGGACTTGAGTTCAGGTCATTCTCATTAATTCATTAAGGCTTGCCATCAGAAAGCTTCCCTATTGAGAAGTCTTCTGGAAGCAGGACTCACTCGTAAGCCTTCCTTCTCTTGACCAATGAGCACTGTTGGCCAATGAGCACCATGACTGTTTCAAGTTTTCGACTGCCTATTATGTGCACATGCAAGTATAGATGTGTGTGCATGCACACACAAGCACATACACACTCTCTCTGATAACACAGAGGGAGGCAAAGTGATAAAGACCCTCTTCACCATCATCAGCTCTTCCTTTGGAGACTCTACTTTGGTGATTTTGAGGGTCTTAACTGCTAGATACTGGATTTTTCTTTGCAAAGTCTACACCTGACTGTCCAGATTAACCCTTGACCATCCTGACCTATGGTGGTTACCAACTATCTACCCATGACCATCCAAGCAGATGTAATGTCAGGATTCCGTCCTGTTACCACCTGTTCACTGACCTCAAGTTTGGGGCATACTGCTCATAATTGCATATACGTGCTTTCAAATCTACCACACAGCACACACTTAAAACTTCAAATAATCGTATTGACATCCCAAGAGAAAGCAGGACAAAAGTTGGAAAAAGTAAGCAAAAATATTACTTTTTGCTTCAGATAAGATAAAAATCTTTCATCATTTGCCTCCAACTATTTATGAAACAATGACTTCATGATGGTTGCACAGTACTATTGTATTATGTGTTTATCATGATTCAGAGATGAATTTTTATCTCTCTTCCATTATATACCATTATTGTTAGTCAGCAGCACTTCTAACTAAAGAAAAATGTGTGTGTGTGTGTGTGTGTGTGTGTGTGTGTGTGTGTGTGTGTGTGTGTGTTGTGTATGTTGTATATGTGGGAACTCGTGTACCATGGTGCACATTGTAAGTCAGAGGACAACTTTGTGGAGCCAGTTCTCTCCTTCCAGTGGGTTCCAGAAATGTCCATGGGTCATCAGGCTTGTGCAGCAAGCACCTTTATCTGCTGAGACACCTCACCATTCACAGTCAGCACTTCTGCTTTATGCCTATTCATACATTTAACTACTTGCAATTTTTTTCTTTTCCTATGCTTTAAAGAAAAGATGTTTTTACATTCTTCAGTGTCTAGCAGACTGCTTAGACAGGTATTTGTTTTAAACAAACCCAAAATTCATCAATACATACTTATTGAGCACTTAGGGTTTTTTCCAACTTCATTCTGGCTACTGTGGCATTTACAGAGTGACTTTATAAAGTTCTCCCTACCATCCCCCGAGACTCCACTTAAAAGTGGAGATTAGATAGGACTAAGGAGCATGAAGCTGACAGAGATGACTACAAGACATTTTACAGTCATGTGATACATGTGGGCACTGTGCTATTTTGCTATAAGGGCTTAGAAAACAAAAATCCCTGGTTATGTAAAATTTTATGACTTGAGCTGGAAGGACATAAAACAGGCCCATTATTTAGCCCATGACAAACTGTTATCTATGGTTTATCTCTTGAGAATTCTGTTTAATCTAGTCTTGGATACTGCTAAGGGCCAGGTTTCTATCACAGATATTGAGAACTACCTTCACAGTCTAAGTCTTTTGGGTCTTAAGAGGTTGCCCCAGTGCTTGATTTCTACTGGTGTAGTTCAAAATGCTTTCCAAAGATTCATTTCTCATGTTGCAACATCTAGTACCTTTTTTCTTTATCTTATTGCTGTGGTTGACCAAAAAGTTCCACATATCTAATTCTCCTTATCTTCATCCCTAACCATGACTATTGTGTTCCTGTCCAGGACTGCCCTCCACATTAAATAAATGATGAGGAAGAATATCACAGGATCAAAACCACCTTGGAAACAACAGCACTAGTAAGTAGTCTTTGACATTATAATTTTTATTTCATGGTTGTATTACTGTGCCTACCAATAACATGTGGCAGGTGTACAATAATGGTTGCTGGATCCATAGACCAGCTCACATTCCATAAGAGTATACTGTTCTCAGTGATGGTAACCATGTCTAAAAGGAATGACCACCCAACAGAATGAAACACTGTAATGTTTTATGACTTCATGACTTGGGGCCAGGAAGAGTATAGTGAAGCTATGGAGTGAAAAATGGGAGCTCAACACAATGGGGTTAAGAAATGAGACTAAGAGTATGGAGAAGAAAGTTCTGGACTTGGAGCAGAGCAAGAATATAAATGGGATCAAATGTAATTAGACCCATAACACACCAACTTAATGTCTGGTGAGTGACCTAACAGGATAGACCTGAGCTTATTTGTGTTGTTAGAATTTTTTGAACAGTCAGAATTTTTCGCAGAACACCAAATACTTGTCCCCAGACAAACTGTCAATGAGAAGAACACAATCACCTGTGAAACTGACGAATCTCCCAGTGGCTGTGGCAGCACTCAAAATCAGGCACACACTGGCCTGGTTGTCCTTCAAACTGGTATCATGATTGTGGACACCTGGCCATTGTGCTGACTCCACTCTCTCCTTAATTCACTAGACAATGCCCTCACATGTTACAAAATTACATGTTGGTATGGTGGGTTTGTTTGTTTATTGTTGTTGTTTTTTAAATCATGGACTATATTTTTTCTCTTTGACCTGAAGGAAGAAGTATTCAACTCACTCAGCTTAGTATTCACCCAGACAGCCATAGAGACAAAGATATAGACCCTCAGTCGTAACAAAGTTAGTATGTATATAGCTTGTGCGTATAGTCAAACAGTATGACTATGAAGAATGTTTGGTACTCATGGAAAACTACCTACCCAAAGATGATTTCTATAGTTCAGGAAGCTTCCCACCATTTGAGAGACACAGAACAATACAAAGAAAGAAGGACCAAGCTTATTTTAAAGGCATTCTTTTCCTCATGATGTCTGAAATACTGAAATTTAAAAATATCTGTATCATATTCTTCAACAGACAACATCCTCTGTGCTTGTTGCCAGGACAAGTCACTTGAGCTCACCAAATCAGAAAAGATCTGGAAAAAGAGCTCTAGCCTGTTCTTCAGGGTGCACAGCTGGGAGTAATGACCTCCAGCTTTCTTGTAAGTCTGATGAAAGTCACCTTTCAAAGGAAGCTGAGCTTTACCAATTCCACCAATCAACTCTAGCTCGCTGCCTATTTGTATTGTATTTATATCACTGTATATTTGTATATTTGTGTTGTATTTATCATCTGTCCCTGATGAGGAGAATGTATGCTCCACAGCAGCAAGGATTTCTGCTTGTTTTTATACTTGTTGTGACCCTGAAACTTGCAACATCAGCCAGCACCTTGAATTGCTGATCTGACTCAACGAGAAAAAATTGACTTCCTCTTATAAATTTCTTACCAAAAAATGCATAACACAAGAAAACACCAAACAAACCTAGACTATAAAACTAGTGAGACCTCATATAAAATTAATGTATGATATTCTTGAAAAAATGCCCAGGTCAAGAAAGCTAAGAAAAGGGTGTGGGGTCATCACAGACTAGAGCAGACCTAGCAACAATGAGAACTCAGTGTAGTGCAGAATCCTGGATCAGATTCTTAGAACAGAAATGGGGTTATTAATGGACAAAATCTGGTGAGGTACAAATGAAGTTAGAGTAACACTGTACTGCTATTCACCTCTAAGCTTTGATATTTATGCTATGATTATACAAGGTGTAACAGGAAGAAACTTTGGGGGAACTTATCTGGGATTTTTTTCTGTGCTGATTTGAATGTATCTATAAGTCTAAAATTAATTCAAAACGAAAAGTTTGAAAAGCCACCATGAAGCAGTGGCCAACACAAAATGAAAGTGATGTTTTTGTAGAAGTTTTGTGTCATGTTGCTTTGTTTGGGCAATTTTTGTTTTACTGGCATTTTGCTTGTATGTGATGGTTTCTGTTTTTGTGATTTTAAGTGGTGTGTGTGTGTGTGTGTGTGTGTGTGTGTGTGTACGCACGCCTGTGAACGTGTGCGGGCACGTGCATGTTTCTTGTGGGGTTTTTTCTTTTCTTTTTTTATGAACTCTGTTTTTTTTTGGTTTGGTTTGCCCATTTGTTTTCTAAAGAGAGAAAGAAAGGGCATGGAGCTGGTACACTGGGAAGTGGAGAGGATTTGGCGAGGAGAGCATCTTGTATGAGAAGTATTTCTTTTCAATAATAACAAAACAAAACAAAACTCACATACTATGAAAGCTTCCAGGGCACTTTTCCTCTTTCTGGATCATTCTGGACTTGCCATTGCTGTTTGGCTTACAACCAAGTTCTTGGTTATGCTATTGAACAGGAGTATGCCCAGGCCAGGGTTGTGTTTGTGGATTATAAAGTCCTGTGCCCCTGCCTGCCTAACCCCAGAGATGGAAATTCTGACTAGTAGTAGAGACACTTTTGGTTTTGACTTCATCAGATTGCTTTTGTTGGAAAGATGTTTGGTAATTTCTATTGTGCAAGTGGGCCTGAAAGAGGACCTGCCTTCCCTTTTCACAGGGCTCTTGTTAGGCTCAGAAGACTCGGGACCCAGAGCCACAGCAGGGAGTCCGAATCCACACTGTATTCATCACTGTATTCATTTACCTTCTGTCACACACAGTTGTATTTGACAAGGAAGAGCTCACACGGCATTTCAGAGCTCAGGCCCCATGTTAATATTTCACGGTCCTCACTCTGAAGCATCTATTTACTTGCTATGTTGGAATTTCTTAAGTTACAAAAAAATAGGGTCATTAAAAAGAACTACCTCATAGGGTTGTTTTTAAGGATGAAAGAAAGGAAGATTGGCAAAGCTTTTAAAAGTTGCCTTGCAAGCCGGGCGGTGGTGGCGCACGCCTTTAATCCCAGCACTCGGGAGGCAGAGCCAGGCGGATCTCTGTGAGTTCGAGGCCAGCCTGGTCTACAGAGCGAGTTCCAGGAAAGGCGCAAAGCTACACAGAGAAACCCTGTCTCGAAAAACCAAAAAAAAAAAAAAAAAAAAAAAAGTTGCCTTGCAACATGCTAAATGCTACATAGTATTTGACATGATTTTAAACCCCTTTCTTGTGGCTTCCTGGGACTAGTTAGACTAGCTTCACCTTGCTGGGTAGACCACCCTGAGCCTCTCTGACTGAACTATAGGCATCTTGAGGGTAGGCAGCATAAGCCCTGTGTTCCTGCCTTCACCAGCAAGCTACATTTATAGAGAAATTCAGTGCTTATCTGGTGATTGACAGATTCATAAGGCCCTAAAGCCATTGCTCTCCCACTTCACAATTTTGCTTCGGGGCAACTTGTCATCTATGTATATTTAGACAAACTTAGAAAATAGAAGATTCCTTAATGCCAGAACTGTTACCTCCACATGCTACCAGTTTGTTATAGAAATCATTAACTTTTCCAGGCCCCTCCCTCCCATCACCCCTCTACCAAAACCACTCTGTCAGCATCGCATACAACAAGCCCAGCGCATAAAAATGAGTCCATGTTCAGTTTGTGTGCTTTGTCCTTCTTTTTCCGTGTGTGTGTGTGTGTGTGTGTGTGTGTGTGTGTGTGTGTGTGTGAGTGAAACCATGCTGTCCGCTTACCCTGATTATTTCTTCATGTTCTCTTGTTCGTACTTCTAAAAAGACATTTTCAGAGTCACCTCCAGCTTCAATACTTGGAAAAATTTAAAAGAATAAAAGATTAACCTCTTTGCTAAGCACTTTGGCCATATTCTTCCTGGTGTTTCCATTTTCAGTATCTGAAGTGGAGCACTCCTTCAGCGCCCTTGAGGATGAACTTGTTTCTTTACTGAATGCATTATTCCATAAAAGAAAAAAAATAGCATCTTTCAATTTATGAATCATTCTTATCTTTGCTCTTCACCTTTCCTTTCCATTGTGTTCCCTCTACTTACACACTTCTAAATTATTTCCGCCCAAACCTAAAGCAGCCACGTTAGAACCTCGAGTCTGCTGCTATCTCTTTGATCATTCCTTTCGGACCATTTGTATAAAAATGCAGTCGTATTGATCTGAGTTACACTAAAAACTCCTTTCATTTCTGCAGACAGCAGTTGATTATATTTTGGGAAATTATCCCAGTACTGTTCCCCCACCCAAGGTGTCATTTTCTCCAACATATTATTACCTTCTTTATTGTTTCTAAGACATGGTACTGCAAATAACTCAGGCATCCAAGGAGCATTATTGCTTTGTCCCTAAAAGTCACCCCAAATGATAGGGGTCCTTCTTAACCCTTCAAAGAAAAAAGAAAAGACAAGGTGGTCACATACAAACTTCTTATTTCATTTTTTTTTTTTTTTTGGCTTTACTTCTACCAAGACAAAACTACTGCCTTCTACTCTGATAAGAGCAACTGAAGCATTCTAGAAAGCGATGTAACGTGAGAGCATGGGTGTGTAAGGGGCACATTTTAAAAGCAATGGCTACTACTGAGATTCTCTACTTATTTGTGATGATATGGGAACAAACCAGTTGAGAGAATCTCAGGGTCTGGATTTGAAGAAGACACATTTAGTCTCATTTCTCACTTTGTATCAGCACTCTCAACTTAATCAGGCCACAGCATTAACGATCTTTGGGAAGGTCAAGGATAATCATGGTCTTTCATGGAAGTCAAAGGATTCAGTAGTCACCCAAGCATTGATAAGCTTCAGAGGACCAAGTTGATGACACTTCTCAAAAATGGATTTTATAGCAGCCAACAAAAGGACAGTTATTAATATGGACATTCAATTCAGTTGTCAATATGATTTACATTGATGGTGTCATGGAAAAGTGTAAGATAAGGCCCCTAAACAACAAGAAGCTTAAAGGCCAGTTGAAAAGGCAAAGTATAAACAACTCGTTCAGACATATACAGCTGAACCCATGAGGAAGTAGATGAGATCTGGTGTTAAGCTGGGTCTGTGGCAAAGTGCTTGACTTCAGAGATGTAAGCGGCAAGGCTAGGAAACAACATTAACCATGTGTTCCTCTTCCAGGCTCCTGGCATTGCTTTAATGAGACTGCAGCAGAGGCTGATCATGAGATGGAGGCATCTCTAGCACTAGGAACTTCCAATTCAGCAGACTTGGGCTATTCACACTGTGTTCTACCATAGCCAGCCTCTTATCACAGAACAGAGACGCATAGGTGAGCACACCATAAGAGAGGCAGATTCAAACTATAGGGTCAGTTGGCACTGTTCAGATTACAGTTCCTTAATGGAAGGGGGTAGTGATCTTGAATACATTATTTATGTTTTTCCATGCCATGGTTCATACAATTGCAGTGGTCTCCCTGGATACTGGGGAGGAAGCAAGTGCCAAGAAGAATGCTCACAGTGCTTTGTGCAAGTACACAAGGCCCACATAGCTCTCTCAGAGGGGATCTTGTGCTTCAGTGGTGAGTTCTACATTTTACATGCCAAAATTTAAATGAGTATTATGCTGGCTAGTGTTTTGTCAACTTGACACAAGCTAAGATCATTTGGTAAGAAATAATCTTAATTAATTCTTTAAATTAAATTAATGCCTTCATATGATTGGCCAGCAGGCAAGTCTGTAAGGCATTTTCTTGACTGAGGACTGATTTGAGAAAACCTAACTCATTGTAGGTGGGTCTACCCCTGGGCTGGTGGTCCTGGATGGTAGAAGAAAGCATATTGGGCAAACTGTGAGGAGCAAGCAGGTAAACAGGGATTCTCTGTGGCCTCTGCTTCAGTTCCTGCCTCCAGGTTCCTGCCTTGAGTTCCTGCCCTGACTTTCTTCAATGACTGACCACGACTGAGACATGTGAGCTATAGAAACCCTTTCTCCCCTTAGTTTCTTTCAGTCATGCTATTTTATCATAGCAGTGGAGACTCTAACTACAACAAGTATTAAAATGTGTGAGAAGAATTTGATGACTTTGAAGTTAATTAAATTAGGTTTCTAAATGTACTTAATGTAGGCCCTAGTTCCTAAGTAACGTCAGTGACCATAGACCTCCACAGAGCACACTTTTTGTTCTGTGAGGTAAAAAAGGAAAGAAAATCTTCTCTAAGTTATAATTATTTTCATCTCATTGGCTATGTTGTAATAAGGGAATCAACTGCAGTAGATATTAACCATATTGCAAATGATTTGTCATGCTTTTCAAGCAATTTGAATATTTTATTTGATAACTACTTTTTATTTCATAGATTAAAATTGATAGCAATATTGACATTTCTCTTAAGCCAATACTTGGACCTACAATTTGAGAGAGGGGGGGAGAGAGAGAGAGAGAGAGAGAGAGAGAGAGAGAGAGAGAGAGAGAGACGGAGAGGGAGGGAGGGAGGGAGGGAGGGAGGGAGGGAGGGAGGGTGAGAGGGAGAGAGAGAGAGAGAGAGAGAGAGAGAGAGAGAGAGAGAGAGAGAGAGAGAGAGAGAAATTGATTGGAGTACAAAGTCCATATAAGAATATAAGTATTATAAGGAATTCATTAGAAAACATGTGTCTTTCCCACTGACAAAAACAAAAGTTAGAAATAGTTTCCCAAATAACTTCACGTATAATGGGAAATTTATCTAAAACTCTATAGCCCCTATTAGCTGTTGGAAAGTTAATTTCATAATAAATTGTTACCTTTTAAATTAGGGTCAATATATGTGGAGACAGTCTGTATCCATCTTCCACTTTGTTGAAAAAAGGTCTCCGTGAACAGCGCTGTGCATATGCACTGTGATTGGGCTGTCATAGTTTCACAAGTTGGGCCTTCCAGAAGGGCATTGGTGGAGGTATGAAGAAAGAAGGCAAAAATAGCCAGATCTGATAGTTTTGTTTCTGATTTTGCCTCTAAGGATGCCAAGAAATATAACTGACCCCCATCAGAATATGATCTGAGGATGGCAGCAAGAACTGTGCTTGGGAAAAGATTCTCTGAAGCCATTCTACATGGCTGACATACTGGAGGGATCCCTTTGGGCCTCAGGCATTGAGAGACCTCATGTTGCATACATAATGTTTAGTTGACCTTTTGGGGCCTTTCCAGGACTACATTCCAAAGCCCTAATTCATTGTAGACCTGTAATTTAACCTTTTTCCTCTTGTGCCCTCAGCCAGTCAGAAGAGTGGGATCTCAGGGGAAAGCTGCTCGCTCTTTGGTTCTTAGTTCAGTCATCAGTTGCTAATGGAAAGTTTCCTGCTGGACTTAACAGGATCTGTCTCAATGATAGTTCTATAATTGGTAACTTGGCCTAGTTAAAATGATATTTCTACATGATTCCATGTCACTGAGTTTACCTTCTTCAAAAGATAAAGATTGCAGAGGCAGAGGCAGGATGGAAAGAACCATTCTTGGGCCCTGTAGGACACATGGAGAATTCTCCAGGCAAGTGGAATGTCATACAAAGCTCCATTGGAATTCAAAGAGGTAGCAAGGAAGAGATGTTTGGAATGGAAGTGGTGTAGAGCAATGTTATTTTTTTCCTCATCAGTTGGTATTTGGGCTAGCCCTATCATTGATATCTCATTTGTACATGGAAGTCATCATTTATCTCATGATTTCTTCCTTTCATTTTAACTCTCAGGAATGCACCAAAAATCCAAGCTCTTCAAGAAGAATTTTCTTCTCTTTCATCCATTTTTGTTTTTAAATCTAACTTGGAAATTTTGGATAAAATATATTATCAGTTTCTTTAACCAAAAAATGTTCTGGGCTCTGAGAGAAGGAGACTCCCTAAGCACAGGGAATCTGGTACCCCCAGGACAGAGCCACCGCCTAGCTCTTCAGAGATGGAGAAATAAAGAGAACAAAATAAAAAAGAATGTCCAAGCATGAAAAGCAGATGTCAATTCAAAGAGCACAGTCTTGTAAGCCCCGGGGAAGCATGTCTGAGCTTTCACCCCTTTCTGAGGTCCCTGTGTCAGCAGGTACTTGGAGTTAAGGGCTGAGGAACTAATCACAGAGTTCTGGCAGGGGTGCCATTGAACAGGGGGCTGGGACTGCTGGCATATGCGTTTCTTTTTAAAATACATACATATATATATTTTCCCCCTCTGAGTTGAAACCACAAGTATTTGAACTGCTCCCAGAGGAATGAAATCCCAGACCTGTGGAATGTCAGTCGTGGAAATTAAATGGCCACCACGTGACCTAGCAAATGCCAGTGTGGAAAATAAACATGTGATACTGAGCAGACCACTGTTTACTCTGCCGTTAGAGATGACAGGCAATTGCTTTCCAAAGCTATGGCCAGAGGTGAAGCTCACAGAAGGCTTAAATCAAGTGTCTTAGAGAGCAAATTGACTATTTGTCTGTGATTCTCCAGCAAATTAAGGATCTGCTCTTGAATGCTGGACAATGAAGCCCCGACAAAACTGCTAAATACACATGGATGCTGTCTTCCTCTCTGGCCACAAAAGACCAAACTGCTTAGTACCAGCCTGCTTAGTTCAGCTTGCAGCTGTGCATGATGGAGAAGCAAGGATGAACACTCTGCTCTGGTGTGATGTTGTCAACTAGGGCTGGGAAGAGAAGACAATGGGATGTTAGAAGAACCACGCTGGGGAGGGAGTCAAGTTCAATGTGTCTACAGAGGAGGAGAATGTGGGATGAAGTGGCACACACCACTCATCCCAGCACTTGGGCGGCAGTCTAGGGCCCATGGGCTTAAGCAGTCTTGGCTATATAGAAAGATAGAGGCCAGCTTGGGCTACATGAGCTTGTGGTCCCAGAGGAAGAAAGAGAGAGAGAGAGAGAAAAGAGACAGAGAGACAGAGACAGACACACAGAGAGAGTGGGGGGAAGGAGGGAGTAGGAGAATGGAGGAAGAGTGGCGGGGAGAAAGGAGAAACATGCTAAGAAAAAATGGAGTATTTGGAAAGGACAGTGGGAAACAAGGCAGGCAAGATGGCTGGCGCAGAACAAAGAGTATGAGTAGAGATGAAGTGCCCCGGCCCCTTCAGAGAACACTGTAAATGCAGGAGGCTTGGCCAGACAGCCACAGCACAGCTGGAATCAATCTGGGCAGCTGCCCTGGCCTACTCCAGGGAAGCAGTAGAAGCCCTACCCTTTGGTTTGGCAAGGACAAGCTCAAGCCTGCCAGAAATGCCAGCCTCCTCGGGGCAGCCATGGAGAGAAGCATTGTATGGACCCCAGCCCGCAATGCTCTACTCTATTTTCATGGGGAGTTCTGGAAATAGGGTATGACCCCTCAAAGGGAATTTGAATACTTAAAGAAGAAAGAGCAAAATCCGCTCAGCTATCTTCAGGCCCTTGAAACATTATAATTAAGGTCTTTTTCATAGTACAAAGAAGCAAACTCTCAGCCAAGTTAGGCAGATGTATATTTTGTATTTATACCTTTCTCCTCTATCCTTTTCAGATTTTAAGCATCTCAGTTCATTTTATCAAAATATGATGTAGCCTCTAACATGTTAGACCCATGTCTCTGAGCAGGAGACGCCAAGTGAGTGATACATGCCCAGGTTCTATCTTCAGGCTGCCTGTAAGCTCTTCTGGGCTCTTGTATACTTCTCTAGGGTCTTGGGATTTCGAGTAAAACCAGAAGAAGGGTGTACTATTATCCCCAGCTAACAACAATGTGTTCTGATGGTTCTTTAAAGAGGCAGCATGGCCAGCTGGAAAGGTTGTCCGGATTATAAAGGACACAACCGGGGATGTGTTTCTAGGAAGTACATTGCCTGGCTATGTAATCTGAGACTCAAGAATTTTTTTCTAGGACCTTGAATTTCCTCCTTTTAAATGTTGTGGGACTAAATGACCCCGAGAGGCCCTTCTACCATTTTGTGATGCAGTTGTAAGCTTCATGATTCTCCCACAGTGCCCACTTGCACCAATCTCTAGCAAGTCTTGGTTTCAAATAAGATATGATTTGTTCAGATTTGTTTTTAGGCAAGGAGTAGAATTTCCTCACTCTTCAGGTACTTGAGAAGAACTTTATGATTTGGAAAAAAAAAACCATTCACTGTGAAAATTTAATTTAGGAAATAGGAATTAAATAAAATATTTCTTAAATCACTTTAATGAGTTTACAAAATTGAAATAAATCTATTTGTTCTCTAAAGATAATGCTCGGAGACTGAGATTCAATTCCGTCTTTCAAATGGCTTAGGGTGGTGATGGGGGAAAAGGGAAGTGTATTCATATCTGAAAATGATTAAATAAAA